AAGGTATTTCACAAAGTATCGTCGTTCATAGCGTTATGTGAGCCCATGCGACTGGAGGCGGAACCATCAGATATTTTGTTGATATCCATCGATATCCCACATCACTCATTGTCGCTATCGGAGGATTAAGGAACTCCGCAGCCATTCTAAAGCCTAGCCGGAGCCGGATGCTTTCAAATAAGTGAAATTCAGTCTCTGGTTCGTTGTTGACGTTGAACTGTCGTATCCAAATCGCAAGCTTTCGCAACCCCAGATCGTATGGGGCACCTAGGGATTCTGGGTTCATCCCAAATAGCTCCTGAAACATTTTGTGTGGTGATATAAAAAATTGAACATTCGAATCATTTTATCGAAAATAGGACACTTCTAAATGACGTGTTCTGAGTTCTGAGCAGACACCGACTTTATAAAATTGATCTTTCTGCCTTAACGATCCACATTAACGATCCCAAGCAATTGGCTAATGCAGTCAGCTTTATGAGCCGAGATCAATTCGATGGCCGGATGGATATAGCTCAGTTGGATTAGCTAGCAGTAGTGATAATCATAAATTTTGCTAATGCGCAAACGTTTCATTCAATTGGCTGATCCACTTTATTAGCTGATATCAATTATCCGGGATGATGCTCTAAAAGTGGAATTAGTCTTCTGTTGTCGTACATGATTAGGTTATAAATCATGATAGTCCGTCGATCGTGAATGTTATCCTCTGAAAANTTCTGTTGTCGTACATGATTAGGTTATAAATCATGATAGTCCGTCGATCGTGAATGTTATCCTCTGAAAAGTCTACTTTTAGACGCCTCCCCGAGACGTTTTCTTTTATATTCATCAATTTTTAGCCATTGGTTAGTTTGAGTGAGATCTATCCAATGGACGAAGTTGTACGCCAAATTTTGCGGATTTTGAAACATTATTTCGCCACTGGCTTCTGCCTTTTGCTTCAATGTTCTTACAATTAGAAGTATTCACGGGCTTCACGGATTTCCTCTCAATTTTAATCCTTTTTTTATCCTATTTTTTAATCCTTTTATCCTCCTTTTTATCCTTTTTATCCCTCAATTATCATTTTTATCCTTTTTATCCCTTATACCCTTTATCATTTTCGACGATTCAATTGAGTGAGACTTTCATCTCCATTGATTATTCATTTGCTAATTTTCAAGCCAGCGATCTTATCTGTAGTTTTTCGTTGTTATCAAATGATCATGCAAATGAACAGTTTGTATTTCAGGTCGTTGAGAAGTACAATCAAACAAGCGAGATCAAGCATGAAACAAGTCTGCACACTACTATCAATTGTTTTTATTATTACACTGATGGATAATATCGAAGCTGGAACATGGCTCTCGTTTAGTGAGTTACTTTCTGAATCACTCAGCACCTAAAGATTTTGCCGGATCAACGAGATTATACCCACAAAATCCATTGTTTCCACTTAATAATATTTAATTCTCATTAATTTTTCAGTGCTTCAATGCCTTCCGTCCAAATTTGTTGCCAGTCATTAAGGAACAAATAAATATTCACAAATCATCAGTCCTCATCGAGTTCAATCAACTGATAAATGGGATTAATTAATGAACGAAGTAACAAATGGGATTAATTAATCCATAGTCCACCCTTAGATCGAAATTTGTATCTCTATAGATAAGAAGATTAATTGATATTATACCAGTTTTTTTGGAATTCATCGATCCCGATGCCCTTTGAATGTGCTTCGGATGGTGTGCGTGATCTTACATCAGTGAATTTTACATCGAAACGACTCAACTGTAGATGTGAAACGATCGATAGAATATAGTTGAAAGCCATTTAAGAATCTTAATCAATCAAATGCAACGGGCCAATGTTTCTGTTACGGCTTAAATCATCCCCTGCGGTATAATTTGAGGACGACATTGGTAACTAGTAACTTCGCTAGGTTGCAGAATGATTTACGATCAAGTTCGGTCATTAATCCAAGTCCATTCGGAGTGTCTTATGAGGTGAAGATGATAAAATCTCAAATGGAGTTCTCAAGGGACTAGATTGGTTGAATGCAATTAGTGGAAATGTGGATGGCATGTTAATTACTCACTGAGGAATTGAAGCAGACTTGTTATTAGTCTTGTCCATAGGCTTAGAATATTTCAAACTTTGAAATATAGTCTTGGAATGAAAATTTTTTAACAATTCCATTGGAACTATTTGTTAGTTTGAAAAAAAAACTTGGTTCATTCAAGCCCTCTTGAATAAAAATGTTAAAAAGAAGGAAGGGGATGAGTCCTGAAGGGAATCGGATCAAGACCAGGACAAGGACAAGGATTCCGAGACCTTTTCGGTCGCTGAGAGGCGACTCTCCCCATGAAGTGATCTATCTGTCTAAAGTGATCTGAAGTGATCATTCAGAGTGGCTTTTTAAATTCAGATCATGGAGGCGGCGAACTTGGCAATGGTCTAGCATCGGGACCATTGGTTCCTGCGGCAGACTTGGCTCGTTTGGTGCGATCTTGCGATGAAGACTATGTGAGCACTTACTTCTTCACATTGCTTAAATCTTTTAAAACCATCGCGTTTCTGTACCACGATTTGGGTAAACTGTTCCTATTCTATTCCATCGTTCGGTTGTTATTTTTCTGTTCTTAAAGATCATTGAAGTGAAATGAATTGGAAGCAATCGTTTTTCGGAGATCTTTCCTCTATAATATCTGCAAAATTTTATTGTTAAAACTGTTGCAATCGTTTGATTTCACAATAATCTCATGATATTTGACAATAATCCTATGACATTTGACAATAATCTCATAAGATTTGACAATAATCTCATAAGATTTGACAATAATCTCATGAGATTTGACAATACTCTCGTTCCAGGTGAAGCAGGGTAATGCGATAACAGCACAGCAAAGAC